GTTCGGGAGCGGGTTAGAGGGAGGGAATGAATCAAAGTATGATTAATTCATTACAGTTACCAAATGATGCTTACTGGGGAACAGGTCGCCCTCCTTTCTGATCTTTTTTTTTTTTTTTTTAATTTCAACCCAAAAAAAAAATCAAAAAATAATAAATAACATTTGGTTTGTTATATGTTCTTTGTGACAATATTTTTTCTTCAGTAGTTTTTTTTTTCTCGCAAAATTAACATTTTGCATGAGTACTTCATTCTCCCTTTTTCTTGATTTCTTGTTAATTAATTAATATCAGTAGTAGTATTTTGTTTTGTTTTCTTTGAGCTGGTTAATTAATTAATTTATATATTATATATGAGACTGCCTTTTGATTATTATTATATATATATATAAATGGTGATGATGAGATTGTTGTTGCAGTATGTACTTTGTGATAACTTGTGTGACAATCATATTCATCACTTCATGCTGAAGAAAATAATCAATTATAGTTGCCTTTTTGTTGCAAGTTTGTCTACTTTTTTGCACTTCAATTCCTATCTATTTTCGTACTACTTTCAGACCTATGTGAAATTTCACTTTTTTAAATTAAACATTTTTTTCCTGATATGATGTGTGTGTGTGTGTGCGCTTTAGTGTTAGTATGTACTAATTAATTTACCATTTTTCGGACATAAAATAATCCATTATATTTCAAGTTCATCTTAATATTACACTATTAAAAAATAAAAAGAATAAAAAAAAATGGAACTTCTTCTTTTCTGTAAGTAGTATTGAGCCTGTAGTGTGAAACAACGACACTGAAAATTGGAGGGCAAATATTTTCAGTTTATAAGTGCATGCAACCATGGCTGTGTAAATCAAAGAGAGGTATGTTAATATATATATGTATGTCTTAATTAATTACTAACATATATTCTGCCTTTGATCATTTCTTGTTTGATTACTGTATTGGAGAGAGAGAGAGAGAGAGAGAGAGAGAGAGAGAGAGATGAATGAATGAATATTTTTGGTTTGACACGTGCACACCTCTCAAGTTTGTTCCTTCTCGAGGTAAAACTAACTCTTCCCACACATTCAAACACCCATGCTTTCTTATTTGAAACACGTTGTTTTTCTTTATGTGTTTTTAACTTTCTTATTTTTCTAACTAAATTTTAGTTATGGAACAAGTAAGTGCTTAGTGGGTTAAGTATAGGGCTTAGTGGATTAAGTATATGGCTTAGTGGGCTAAGTAGTGCTTAAGTGGGTTTAATTGTGAATATTATTCTAACTCCTTAAACTAACCCACTAACCCACTAACCCATGTTCTTGAGTGCTCTTGTGGTTGGTTTTCTTGCAGATCATGGGCTGAGTAGTGGATGCTTGGAATGCCTATAAATACCGACTTCAATACTCAAGGAAGATAATCGATTCTACGAAATAAAAACCAAGGGCTGAAGAGAATACACGAGTGTTTTAGTTAGGTTTTAGAATCGATTGTTTGTACTCTTCGTGAGTACATTCTTTACGTACTCCTTATGAGTACATTCTTTACGTACTTCTCATAAGTACATTCTTTGCAGTCTAGATTGTTTAGTATATATGTTTCTAGACTTGGTTGTAAGAATGATCAAGATAGTGATTCATTCATAAGTTATTTACGTACTCCTCACGAGTACATCTTTGAAATCTAGAATTTTTAATATTTTTCTTTTAGTATCTAGATTTGATTGTAAGAATGATCTTGAAAAAGATTCATTCGTAAGGAAGAAGTTTTCGCACCTCTTCTGTTTGTATTCTTGGAATACTGATTTTAATATATATTTTTCTGTCCTGTAAAGGACAAGTTCACAAGTCTTTACTTGTGAACGTGTTTAATTCTGAGTATTGTTCTTTTGTCTTTATATTTCCGCTGCATGTTTGTTCAAGTGTCATAACACTTAAGACAACACCTCTGTATTAAACGAATTCGGGACCATAAATTCTTTCATTATTAATATACATGCATGTTATGCACACAAAATGCAAAAAAAAAAAGTTTCCATCTCTCTCTCTCTCTCTCTCTCTCTCTCTCTCTCTCTCTCTCTCTCTCTCTCTCTCTCTCTCTCACACACACACACATACACACACACAAACAGTCACACACACACACACACAATATGACATTGTTGTGATTAGTTTTTATTTAATTTTTATTTATATTTATGGTGTAATTATTAGATAATATTGGTACATATTTTGGATGTGATATTATTGCAGACATAGACTTATAAAACCATATGTGATTTGTGTATGTGTTTGTTTGTGTAAGGACCTACAGAGTGAGGTGGGCAATCAGTTTTATGTCTAGATTCAGGAATATATCTATATGGTTCATTGCATTAAGACTCCTTTCCCACGTATCATCATATATATATACATTTATATATATATATATAATCCAACAGTGGATTATGTCTTTTCTTCAGATATGCACTACATGTCCAATATAATTTCATCTATTTCTTCTTGTCCTAATTAATTTAAGGTCACATCAGTTTATATACAAATTATTTTGTTACATCATATATATATATATATATATATATATATATATATATATATATATATATATAAAAGTTTGTTTCTCTACTAATTGTTCTTCAATTTCTTTTGCATGCAAATAATTTCTGGTTGTTTTCAGCTATTAGTATTTTCCTTATTAATGTCCATTTTATTCTTTTGCAACCTAATGTATGTGTATAATATGTGTGTGTGTTGCATGTTTGCTGTTTTCTATATTATTTCCTAATTAATAAAAAATGTCACACAATATATGTGTGTGTCATTGCTTTGGCTTGAAGTTGAGATAAATCTTTGAAAAGTTTATAGGTCAAGTAATTTACACACGGATGCTTTTGCATGGTAATTATATTATTTATACCTAAGCCCCTGAATGTTTCATTAATTATATTGTTTACATAGACATGTTTGGTACAATTGAACAGACCTAGATTTAAATCAAGAAAATTCAAACATGAACCAAAAAAGTCTGACGGTATCTTCTATGCATGGTTTTTCAATTTTTAGAGTGATTTTATAGAGAGAAAAAACAACATGATCATTGTGTGGATATATACCAAGTTGATAATCAAATGAAGACAATTTATATAGTCTTCTCTTGTTTTGCTTTTACTTTTCTCAAATAATTTACAGCTCATCAATCAAATCCCATTTAAACAACTAGTGCAATTTGTGTGCTAATTTGTCTTCGTGTGATTGAATCATGGACAAGTACATGCCAACTTGTAAGGTAGTTGAAGACCTAGTGCAATTTGAAGGGTCTACGAGATGCTATACTTGGTGTAATACACTGGGTAATTTCAAACCGTAGATTTATATAAATAGTTATCCACTAAACAACGTACACATGATTGCATGTTTTATTATGTCTAAATCAGTGGTTTAAGATCAACCGATATATTTTATCGGGTATAGTATCTACAAAATCATTTGAGGGCTAATTTGTCTTGTGTATTTGAGTAATTGAATTGTTGGGCAAATTCCACATCAGCTTTTAAGATGCCTAGTACATATATAGTCAAAAGCTAGCTAGATATATAAATGTGACTCAAGTTCTATTTTTAAATCCAAATTCGGATCATGTTACACATGATTTGAACCCTAAACCTTTACTCTAATAGTAAGCGCTACGAATATATATCAACTCTTCTAATGATACCCCTTTGTCACAGCCGCTACCCATGTATATAACAATGGGTAAATTACAACCTTCACCCTAAGGTAACATGTAATTACGAAAATACTTTTTTTTCCTGAGAAATTACATCCAACCCCTTACAGGATGTAAATTTCTTACAAACAAAAGGGAGTTAATTTACTAAATCTACAAATTGCAAGGGGTGCATGTAATTATGAAAAAATGAGGGGGGGGGGTTTCATAAATAAACCTTACATTAGGGGGTAACTGTGATTTACCCCTATAATAAACTCCAAAGTCCAAACACGCCCCAAACAGGTGGGTTTATTATGGGACCCGGTTTATTTCGGCATCAACTGACTTGTGCATACAGTGATTTTGACATAAAGTTTGTCGCAACTTGAAACTATTATCATATCGATATATAGCATATACAAAGAATGATTTAGCATATACAAAAATGGACGAGGGAATATATATAGCTCATGCTCAATTTGTATTTGACTTTTTCATCAAGAGTCAAGACAAAGAAGCTACAGGTCACTTGTTACACATAATAACATCACAAGTAACTCACACAGAAAACATGCATGTGGAGGCGTTCACACAAAATGAAATTTCATTTAAGTACTCGCTCGTCGTATATACAACTAATCGTAAATGAACAATTTACTACAAAATTGCAACTGAAGCCAAAAAAGAAAAGGAAAAAAGATAATCATAAAGAAGTTGGCCAGACAATCGAACAAAATTAAATAATGATAACAAACAAAACCCGCAACTTTTCTAGTAGTAATACATTATACATACATTCAAATCTCATGCAAGGTGATTTTATATATAATAAGAGGAGAAAATTTAGATTTAAAGTTAAGAAATTAGACCTCTATCCTTAAGCGTCGCATTTCAGCTTGGAAAGTGGAACTTGTTGTTAGAGTTCGACGAGCAAGAGCCCTAATGTCCTCCCTAGAACAGTCTCGTGAAATACGAACTAGCTCCCAAAGTGCTCCTCCGCTTATCATCTCTTTAGCATTCACCTCTGTTAATATTTAATTTTGGGGAACGAAATATTTTTCAATGCTCCGAAGAAATTAAATAATATATGCTCGTGGTTTTTTTTGTTCAGTTAGTTATATCAAATATGATTACCGTGCTGTGCCAGGTGGCAGAGTGCAAGCTCAACGTGGCGCCTGATTAGCGAAGCTTCGTTGTTGGCATTTTGTACTATCCACGGCAATGCACCGTCTTCTATCAGGAGAGACCTTCCATCTCTTGTTCCTATTATTATGGAAGTGTTACATCATTCTAAATTCTAATGCCTCATCATTCTAAATTCTAATGCCTGTATATGTATATTATAAAACTACCTACAAAAAGCCTGATAAAGTTTACGCGGATGTCGCAATATACTTTGACTCGTTTTTTTTTTCTTTTTTTTTTTGTGAAGTTGTGTTTTATCCAAATTGGATTATAGTGATTCAAATTTCAAAATGATTTATCCACTGACACGCATGAAGTTAAGATATATTAACAGAAAAATAGAGTAATGCTTAACTAATACACTAGCTGCCCATGGTTTTGTGAAGAATAAATGGAAGAAAATTACCTTGAGTAGATGCTCGAGATTCACACTTGGCAAAATTTGCAATACCACGTGCAACTTGAGAGAGAACATCGGGATGTCTACATCTCACCATTCCTAACAAAGCTTTGATGCCACCTTCTGACCTCAGTCTTGTTTGCAGTTTATCTGAAAAGTCGAGAATTGAGAAACGCCCTCCCAATTTGGGATGAAAGAATAGAGATAAAGTGAGAGGATGAGGGGACTAAAACCCATGATAACTCGGAGTGAGTGCATATTCTGTGAGGGTTTAATGAACTCCAATTAACCAGCTCAAATAGAGATATATTACGCTGAGGTTAGAGCAATGCGCAGATTCGAACTACAAAACAAATACTCGTACCATTTCCACATAGATTAGCTATTGCTCCGGCAACCATTCGTAGAGTCTGAGGATCTTCGGCATCGCCAGCTGTCATTGCTAACAGACAAATTCCACCTTGGGCCATTATAAGCTCTTGATTAGCCTCTGGATGGAGAAAACAAATATTTGCAGCAGAGTGAAATGATCAGAAGAATTGAATATGTCAGCTCCAAGTATATACACATAAATATGTGAAGCATATATAAGGGAACCAAAAGAACTATAGCAGGTAATTTAGGTGAAGCATAAAATATGATACAACGAAAAAGAAGTTACCATTCATAGCAAGATTGGCAATTGCACCAGCTGCAATTCTACGAATTGTTTCATCCTCATACGTTCTAAGAAGCATCAACAATGAAGTGAGACCACCAGCTTCAACTATCTTTTCCTGATTTGCTTCTATAAAGTGTGTAGTATGTGCATGTAAGTTTCTTGAATTAGAACGTCAAATAACATCAGTAGTATCTAACTAAAAAAAATAATCGGCATCATGATGCTAACAATTGGCTAAAGAAAAAGAGATATATGTAAGAGTATTCAAAAGGATGATCAGGTTGGAGATATAGTTTTAAGTTGAGGAGAACAAAAAGATGAGCATCACCCCGCATGACATAGAGTGAGAAAGTAAAACACCTTCTGCAGCTAAGTTGGCTACCACTTTCACAGCATGAATCCGCACATTAGCATCCTCTGACTCGAGTAAGGACAATATCTTATGCAATCCAACTGTCATAACAATAGGTAAATAAATACAAAAATTCAAAGCAATTTTAGATGATATAAAGCAAAACACTGGTCAGCACCTTGTTCATGAAGGTTTGCGATGGATGCTCTTTCTCCATTATTGCCATCTCTAGACCGCAGATCATTAAGTGGAGTTAAGCTATCTATACCAAGAAGTGGGTTCCCAGAGTTGCCTCTCTCTGGATAGCTTCTACTCTGTGAACATAGGTATGCCAAAAGAAGGAGTTCGTTACACTTCTGCCTAATGAAAAACAATCTACGGAAAAACTTTACCCTGTTAGCATACCCATCAACTATCAAGTCTAGTGCCTATCACCACCTTATATAAAAAAAAGAACAAAAGGACATATAAAGCATACTTGATTGGCTTCAATAGACTGCTGTGCCAATTGACTTCGCAAAACTCTCACTTCTTCTTCAAGTTTTTTCTTCTGAAGACCCTCCTCCTCCAGCACTTCTTGAATGCTAAAGCCATTAGCGTTTCCACTTTCCAACTGCACAAGATTAACCAGATATACAATCAATCAAATATGGATCCAAGGAAGCAGCAAACTCAAGACATAGTAAAAATCCAACTTTGAATAACACATACCTCCTTCGAAAATTTAAGAAGCTGATTTTTTAAGAAGTGATTTTCCTCTTCAGCTGCCTTTCTTAGACGAATTTCATTTTGAAGCAATCTTTTTAGCTCAGCAGCTTCTTCGCCACCAGCATAAGCTTGATTCTGCAAAAAGTAATTTAATAACTTCAACTAAACTTTAAGATAGTAGCAAACAAACAAAAACGGGTTCACATTTTGTTTATTTAGTCGACTAAATGAATGATGAGAACTGGTTAACATGGACTTAGCCAAATAATATGAGACTATAATCTCTTCTAATAGTAACTAGATGGAGTCATGCAACCCAATAGAAGGATACAGTAGCAAAGCTAGAATACCTCTCCATTAAAAGCATGCTTTTGCTGGTTAAAGGTCCACTTCTCCTCAAGCTTCTTAATTGACTCCATATAGTCCATCTGGCATTTTGTTTTCTCCTCCTGCAAAGAGAGGTAGAAGAAGGTAAGCAAAAAGATCAAACAGATCAAGGTTCTAACCATCATCTCTCCCACATGGCCAAAAATGCATGTTACTGAAAATGAATTATACAGGTCCAAATTATTGCTTCATACATTTCAGAACAGTGTCCAGTTGTTATAACTTATTAACAGTTGAATGTAGCACGACGAAAGATTCAACTCTGATCTGACATTGGGTTATTTGCAAATTGACGAGTATCCGCTTTCAAGTAAAAATGTCAACTAAATATTTGTGTAAATAGAATGGAAATATGCATGTACAAAGGCAGACGAGCGCATAAATATACCTCTAAAACTTCCACATAACTCCTTTCAGCCTCAGCAACACGTTTCTGTGCTTCTAATCTGATTCTCTCTATCTCATTTTCATAAACTTTTTGCTGTCTTTCATTTTCAGCAATAAGTTTATCAATTTCCATCTCAAGTCTTTTGGACAAACTCTTGTAATCGAACTCTTCCTTAATCTTCAGCATGTTCTCCACCTTCATTGCCTGTGGAGGAATCAAAAGCGATGATTGCACATTATAAATTTGAAGGAGTACTCTGTCCAACAAAGAAACGATTTCTGTCCTAACAGATTAAAACCATCAAGAAAGCTGACTCTTCAATTGCGCTGCGATCATAACTTCAGAGTTTGACAACTCACCCTTTGTCCAAACATTATGGTACTTGCAGTCTCTGCTCGATGACGTGGAGATGGGCCAACTGTAACAATTAATGAAGTTCTGGATGTTCCTGTAATGTACCAGGCAAGACAAGTTAGATCAACCCAATTTCCAAACCACCATATTTCATCTCTCAACATTTTTAAAGATATTATATTAGTATCAGTAAATGATGGGATTGTAGTCTCCAATTTTTGGGAAAAGTTACAGTAAAGTTTTATGATATTAGTTCTAGAAACTGAAATAACAAATTACTGAAGTTCTCACTAAAATGTAAGTGAAGCTCAATGTATACTTATCTAAAATAAGTAGAAAATCTCACCTCCAAAAGAGTCTTTAAGTAACCTTGTAAGCTTTGAATCTCGAACTGGGACATGAGAACTATTTTCTGCCAATGCATTTATACATTTTCCCAAAGCACTCAGTGAAAGATTTATAGATTTGGCTTCTTCTAACATGTGTCCCTCGCTTCCTTCATGAAACATTCAAAGTGTCTCAGGAAACTATTTGAAATTATAAACCACTTCAAGCAAAACTGCATTCATAAATCTTAAACATCAAAACAAGAACGGTGGTGACATACTCTAATTTAGTGCCTAACAAATTATTGTTTTAAATCAAGCATGAGGAAATTTTGATCTACGATAAGTCCCAGAATAAGTTTGCTCCATCCATGGCCCCAATCAGATTCAGTTCACTCAATCAGGAGATAGAGCTTAATAGAAAATTAAGGTAAGTAGATCTTTTCTTTTATACAGAACAAAAGGAAACTTGTTTCACATATTTAGCAAGATTTAATATCCAACAGCAATAGGCTAAACAAGACCTGATTTACTTCAAAATAGAACCAATCAGGTCTTGTTCTATTTTCTGAGTTTCAACAGATTAAGACACGGAAGAGTCTGCAATGTATAAACACTACTCCCTGAAATAACGTCACAACTGCTGATTTAACCAAATGTAAAAAAGAAATGATGTATCAGTAAAAATAATCCAAGAAAAAAACACATAAAAACTAGAAGGTTGATAACTTCAACGGACCTGATTTGTGTATACGTTCAGAACCAGCAAGATCTACAACAATTAGTTTGCCTTTTCGTATCATAGGTGGCCTCAAATTACCAACCAAACTAGAGTGATTTTGAGATTCTTGAGGAAAATCAACCCCTCCCGGTACAGACTTCTTCACTTGTACCTATACAGTACCACATGAGTTTCATAGCGAGAGAGGGACGGCGAGAGAAGGGGAGGTGGGGATGAAACAAGCAATATTATCATTTACCATTAGAAGGGCATGACTACGGGAAGATTCGGTATTCAGTCTAGTGTTAGCAGCAAACCGATGAGCTTCCCCCAAGCGTAAGAGTTCAACAAAACTTTGTTGGTCCCGGATCTCTAATACAGTAGCCCCTGGCAAAGAAACATCACCAGTTCTTTGGTCCTCAACAATTGAAATATTATCATTTGCTGGATATAGTAGATCCTGGATTGTTTCCATATAAAGCTACAAAATAGACCAATAATTCTAAATTAAAATGACTTTTAAATATCTAGATTTATTTTCAGATAAACAACAAATAGTACTGAAAAAAAGATGTTTATAAAACACAATCATTGTTCAATCATGTATGTACTATGTGCATCCAACCTGCAAGTATGAAACTGAGATAGAATCAGTCTCTGGAGAGATATTTGCAAGGATATCTTCCATAGAGCGAACCATTATACCCCGTGCGGAGGTGTCTTCATCACCTAGTCGACCAAGAGTATAAGTCTTCCCAGTACCAGTTTGACCATAAGCCATCACTGTCCCATTGTAACCATCTAAAACACTCTGACGAAATTACGAAATGAAAAAAGATAATTGGTAAGCAATTGAGACTTCTAAATAAATAAGGAGAGTAGTATGAATAATCTGCGTTGGATGTCAAAATTGAAGAACTCAAAGCTTTCAGCAAATCACTCAATACACATCATAGCATTAGGCAGTCCAAATCAACATATGTCAAGAGTGGAAGGGCAATTTCTTGTCGCTATTGACTAGGATACAAGAAAACCAAGCTAAACTACATCAGACATGCTTATTCAATCAGATATCAACTATTACGTGAAAATGATGCAGGACAAAAGATACAATCCACAATAGCTGCCAGAGATGCTTAGTATAAAATTAAAATAAGTAATAACTTATCCAGCTAATCAATGAATTTCCAGGAAAACAACAATTCATGATTAACCACACTGAGCCTTTAAATCATATAGACGTGTATCTGAACAAACTCTACAAATTATAAAATTAGAAAAGCTTCACAGAACTCACCTCGACCACGGGTTTGGCAACAACTTCATAGACTCGTTTCTGTGATGCAAATTCAGTAAGAACCTCATCAAACTCAAAGGTATCTGAATCCCAGTTGTTTTTCCGAAGTTTCAACCTTTTGAGCTGCAAAGAAATATGTGCCAAATGACACAATGCCATAGTTATTAACCTGTGCTGCTATACGATACTAGAAAGTAGAATATCAATATAAGAGTAGGACTAAAATCAATTCTGGAACCTCTGGCTGCAATTCCACACAATCAGCAAAATCTGCATCTGCAACCTGCTCTTCAGCATTTCGAGGTCTCAATCTTACAGCAACTCGAACTCTTCCTGAAACTACCTCAGTAACATACATTAATCAGATTTTACCACCTAAAATATATTTTGTAATTTCATGTTTAATCACACGAAAGAAGATAAGAATTTAAATAGATCGACGTGGTTCGAAAACACTGATTAATCCGTAACTGGAAAACCATTCGACTGACATAAATAATTCACCAACCAAGCCTAAATTATATTTAATCTTTTTATAAGAAATATCTTCAGAAATACTACCGTATAAACATGAAAAAACACTTGGCTTATTTTTTAAGCCTCGTAACAATCTCATTAAGCCATTTCCGTGGTATATCATATATGGATACAGATCCCAATAAGGGAAGTACCCCAGGGATGTACATAAAACACGATCATAGAAACTTTTGATTTATCTTACATAATAACTGAAATCCCCTTAGTTTTGCCTCGTAGCAAAATGTAAACAATACTTTTCTTCCACACGACACTACTAACTACATTGTCCTTCTCAGAATGAGGAGAAGCGGCTCAAATATTTCCCAATGTTATTTTGCTTCTTTTCCATGAAGTCAGATCCTAATAGCAGGTTCACCATCTATCATACATTTCAGAGAAGTTCTTCAAATGCTATCCGCTCGTATTTAAAAATAAAAAAATCACAAGTATAGATATGCACAAAAACATAGGCGAAGGAGACATAACTAATAGCACCACAACATGATAACTGCGCGCCGCTAAACACCAATTCAAACATTCAATCAATTCATTCAGATAATTATAACGGCGGAAACAAACACACATATCAAACTAGCAGATTCATTCAGCAAACTACATCTCAAAATCGAGCTCCAACACAAATGCAAACCACATTGCCAGTAGAAACGGTAGATTAACACAGAGTTTTCCACAACTCTCAAAGCAATCAGATCGCTCCGGGTCAGAAATCGTAAGAAACAAGTCCACGCAACTCACCAGACTCGGCGACGCCGCCGATAGAGGCGGGGCTGCTGCGGCGGACATTCGCCGGCGGAAGCTTCGATTTGAAGGAAGATGAAGTACGGAGATTTGAAGCCCTGTGGACGCCATTTCTGTTACCACCAACTGTAGCCATTTCTCCTCTCCTGGAGAAATTATTTTTCTTTTTTAAATACAAAACAAAAAACAGCAAAGAGTATATACGAAGTGACGGTATTGGGGGAGAATTAATTGAAATGGAAAGGGGTTTTCAGTCTTTTTCCCACTGCCCGCTTTAAGTTGAAAAAACAGTGACAAAAAGTGAGGGGTGGAAGTGGGACCCATCCATATGCGGTGCCTTTTGCTAAGGGCTTGTTTGGATACCAAAATTGGATTCTGATTTCTGCCAAGGTCCTTTTGCTAAATTCTGGAAGTTTCACTTATATAGTACGCTCCGATAAATTCAATTAAATTGGGTACCTTAAATATAATTAATAAGAATAAATGAGGAAGAAAGGGAAATGAAGAGAGATGTTTTAGGTGGGACCGGGGTCGTGGGGGAAGTTGAAATTTTAGGGGGAAGAGTGGTGGGGTGAAGGTGAAATGACGAAAAAGGGCTTCTATTAACAGCAGCACGATAGATAGAGCAGTACTTGAACTGCCTAAAAGGTGGTGCGAGAATCTAGGGGACGGTCCTATTTGTCGGGTTGGAAAACGGGTTTGGGTTGTCTATTGATTCGGTTTTTAAATAGTTGAAGGCCCGTTTGCAATTGGAGAGCCCATGCAATAAGCAAGAAATATGTAATAAGCAATTTCATCCCAATTGACAATATTTAACCGTTTGGGAAAGTTTTAGGATTTTGAGCAAAATTTGCATTCCTAGAACAAAATATTGTGATGAAATTTAAAGTATGTATATATTCATATGTACAAGTTTTACGCAGATCCACGTGTCCAATATAAATTTCACGTTTTCCATGTCTTGTAGATGCTACATTCAATCCTAATCGAGTAGTTTTGCACCATAGATTTGTACATACATTGACATATACATATGTGATGGGGCCCAATTAGGCATTGTTTGCCGAAAGCCCACTGGATCGCAATAACCGAAATGGGCCAAGGGTCCGCTTAATAGTTCGATAGCTCGCTCGAAGAAGGATTTGTGGACATAAGTCTCGCCTGAATGAGCTGAAGATCTCACTATCCATCCCGAGAAATTGTCAAGAATTAGCAAAATGGAGAAAAAAAAAAAGAAAATCATCAGTACAATACTACAATTTTTGCAATGCCTCAATAGAGACATCTACAAAGATAACTCTACAAACAAATCAAACCTCAAATCTAATCATTGTCAACTACTCCTAAACTGTAGATTTACACTCTACGAAACACCAGAAAAAAAATTAATAAAAAAATAAAGGCTATACATGAAAACTAACGAACAAACTCATTCTAGATTCGAAAATTTCTTTCATCATCCAATCGAATCTTGTTGTGTATCATCATCGGAGCTTACCCCGTCACTATCAACTGTCTCAGCATCCGATACTTCTCGAGCAACGTCTTTACTCCGACCATCCACATCAGCATCGCTGCAATCTTCGGTATCGGAATTAGAACAAGCCCCCCCTCTTTCAGACCCCACTCGACCGTCACTTTCTACAGCACAACTGAACTGCTCCTTCAAATCAGGAGCAACGATGCCAATCATCTCACTAAGCGCCCGCCGCTCCTCGTTTCTCCTCCGGGGATCTTCACCCTTGGTCGCCGGAATATGCTGACTCTCCGCCACAAGACTGCTCGAATCTTGCATAACAGCAGCTACAGCACATTCGCCTGAGGAATTATCATTCTCTCCACAATGCACCGAAGGTGCAGTGCTGCAAGCCCAGCTACCCATAACTTCCGAAGCCAAAAGGTCTGTAGTTTTTATTGTCCCACCTCCACCACCATCTGTGTCTTCTTCCATTTCATTATTATCTACATCCATTGTATCTCCATCCAATTTGCTGCTGCATTTATTCAAATCGATTTCAATTTCGGTTTCGAGAACTCGCTCGGTTTCAACTGCGGTGGCTGGTGACGTGGCGAAGCCCTCTGTGTCAGGGATTTGCTCGGTTCCAATGGCATCTCCGTTAATATCGGAGCCAAACGCGCCCTTAACATTGTTACCGTTGAATTCTACTTCCTGTGTGTCTTCTTGGTTGTTTTCTTGGCTTTTGGGGTTGCATTCGTGCTTCTCAGTCATGCTTGCTTCGTCACTGGACGATTCTTCCTCGGCTTGATTCTCTGTCTTGGATGTGCTGTTATTGTTGCTTCTTTGATTTGCGTCTCCGTTGTTTCTGATTGTTGATTGGTTTTCGTTTTCGTCGATTGGATTGAGGTCAATGTCGATTGATGTGGTTTCGTAATTCTCTTGATCTTCTAGGGTCTTCTGCATTCCCTTGAGTTGTTCCTGCTGCTTTGCAAACAACCCCGATATCTCTTCTGTTGTGGAATAGAAAGCACGAAGCTGAGTTTCGCTGCAGTAGAAATCGTCTGATGTTATGTTACATGTTATATAAGTGAAAGATAGGTGGAATCTTTCTTGCAATTTAATCCATTTCATATTAACTATAAAAATGTGAAATCGGTGTAAAATCCAATGTGTCATATATAGTTGCATTCGTACCGGAGCATAATTCTCTCCCTAGCCCCTTTTAGTCTGCGTCTTTCGAAATCGAGATCCCGCATTGCAGCACTGATCTCAAGTTCAAGAGCAGAGACCTTTGCCCATGCTTCTTCCCGAGCTGACTGCTACAACAGCAAGAGAAACTACTCTCAGTTTGAGATGCGTATAAAACTTGTTGTTAAGTAAATCTCCCGATATATGTGCTTAATAAGAAGACGAATCATAAAGTAACAAGGAAATATTGCTACTGCCAAATCCTACCTTTTCACGTTCAAGTTCTTTCCTCAATCTTTTGCTTTCATGCTCAAGTTCCTCAACCCTCTAAAAACACGAGTAAAACCATTAGCAAAACATACAACTCATTGAATTTTTTTTGTTATAATAGTAGGCGGAAGAAGAAAGAGTACTTTTCTGCTACTGGCAGAAGCTTGCTGCTCCTGGTGGATTTGACCCTCCAACTGACGCACTTTATTTTCAGACTTGACCAACTTTTGTCTAGTATCTTCCTGCCATATGGACATGAGCGAAATCAAGTTTCAATGGAATATACTGATATTCGAAAAAAAGATGCTGATAATAGGAAGAAGGAAGTAATATATACCAATTTGGACCTCAAAGTTTCCACCAATAAACACCTTTCTTTCTCCGCCTCCTGAATAAACAAGGGTCGTAGTTAAGTGCCTAAACATGAAAAAGCCAAAATTGTAGAACAATTCATTACAAATAAATACCTGAAGCTTATTTATCATTTCTTGTTGCTCCTTCTCTCGTCTCAAGGCGCTATCTGATGCTCGTTGTATTTCCTCTGTGGCCTCAGCTTGAACTCTCTGTATCGCCATTTTCATATCTACAGAAGCTTTCTCGCGCTCCTCTCTCCTCTGATCGCGCTCTTCATCTAATAGAGCTTTCAGTTCTGATATAGACATCTTTTGGCTGAATTAAGCAAACAAAAATCAAAAAGTTCACATGGGCCCCAAATAAACGTGATCCAATTCGACCTTCAGCGCAAAAATTACAATAGATTGTACTTGGAGGTATGAGCACAAAGATTCAACTGTATTAGACACATTTTTTACGTACACGGTTATATATGCTGGCAATTGAAAATCAATAAAACTCCTACCTGAACATGTCCTACCCAAAAAAATCATATGAACTTTGCAATTAAATGACTTCATGGCCCCTTTCTATCACCCTGATTTACACAGCCAAAGGGTGTAGAAGAGCCCAGTAATATATCCTAACAAAGATTACAGATAGCAATCTAAGCAAAAAAGAACTAAATCTAAGAATAATGGCACTAACCAACTGATTCAGATTTTCCATCAATTCTAGCTCAAAGTCACTTCATGAACTTCTCACCTATTAATTATTTCATTGGCTTCAATGCATGACTGCATAGATGCACTAAGTCTTTCAGTAAGGTCCTCAATCCCATGTTTTTGCTCAGCAGACATTTTATTCAACTCTGTTAGTTCTTTGTCTTTAGCCTCCAAAGACTGGTTTAACTGACTGATCTGGTCATGATATGATTTTGATACTGATTCTTTCAACTCCTTCATTTCCTGCAGAACTCGGACATCCCATCAATCAGATATTAAAAGTTGCAGATATAATGGCTACCAACTGAAATAGATTTAATCGGTTAGTATATTCCTTAAACTTACACAAAAGTAAAGCTCACAAAGATAGAGATTAAAAAGAGTCACAATGACAAACTAGAAGTAACTTGATTATCAAAGAAAGTTGTCAATAGATTAACTTCTTAATCTCCGAAGCTCGGCACATCATAAACTGGACTAGAAGAATATATAGTTGCAAGAAAAGAAGTTATACTGAACAAGGTAAATAAAGCAAATCAAATTTAATCAACTAGGGGTTTGTCCGATAGAGCATTATAACTGTTCTCCGCCAACAACACTAGTCATGTGGAGCAGTGCAGCTGTACTAAGCAGAACCAAAGAAGAACAATATTCACATTATAACTATGTGCGAGGAGTCTGCAATAATTATGCTAGCAACACTCGTCTTCCGAAAATTGCAAGGACACAGGTTCAGCATTAATTTGAACATAATTCCATATTTCAATGAATATTGTGGAACCAATGATGGCTACTGCTATTATACCAGAAATTACTGGAATTACAAATGTTTGAAATTTTCAATGCTATTCATATAAGAACAGTAATACGACAAATTTCTGACAAAGTCCTAGTACTTTGTGATACTGTAAACCATACTTTTTTAAGAGAAAACTTCAGAGGAAGAGACAGTGCAGTTTCTTGATATCATAGACAAAGACACGATCCCTATATATACAAGTAACTTACAGGATAAAGGAGCTAACTACTTGCAAGAATCACATCCATAAAAGAAAGAAGTAACAAAGAAAGCGTAACAAGAGAACTGCATATATAAGGAAATAAATACATACAATTTCATGCTTCTCAATAGCAGCGCGGTTTTCATTGCGCAAGGATTCAACCGTCACAACTTGATTTTCCAGACTTTTTCTGAGTTCCTGAAAATACATTCAACATTTCCTCAAAAAGCTGCTATAAAATTTAAAAGAGAAAAGGGGGAAATCAGATAAACTCTTGACTGAATGGCGACTGCAAACTCGAAGGTCATACTACATATGTTGCAAAGCGCACTAGCACAGTAAACATAAATACCGTGTTTGATCTTTGAAGGCTCCGAAAATCATCAAGAGAGATTGGACCATCAGAAGCTCCAATGCCGATTCCTTTCAATCTCTTGTCTCAGCACCGTATTCCTCTTCAAGAAATAACTTAGCTATAAGTAATACTAACCAGAAATCTCATCCATCAAGTTTAAGCATATATCCTCAGTTTCAGTAGTT